CGTTTCTCTTGCAACATTCCAACATATATAGAAATCTGATTACTAATGAACTAACAGTGCAAAGTGATTTCAGTTTGCCTGGTCATTTGACATTTTTAGTTAGGATTAGAGGTATATCTATACACACACAAAGACTAAACTTAAACTATTCACATGTAATCATGCTACTCTATGCTTACTTCGACAACACTTCGATCTAGTAGCGTGTTATCACAAGGCATTAGCATGTTAGCACTCACTACTGTTTTGATGGCCAATACTTAAACATTAAATCCGCAACATGTTATCATATCCATGCTTCTCACAAAGTGGTTGTTACTTGTTACTATATTTCAAGTACAGAACTAGTAGCCTGCGTTAAAAGGACTCTATAGGCGTAAAATGAGTCACTTGTCATGTTGTAAGTAACTATTCTGCCCCTTACAGGTCAAGGGATGTGGAGATGCACCATGTGATTCGGTTTTCTCAGCACCATTCCAGGGTTACATGCTTGGGATACTTTCTGCTTGTCTTTCTGCACTAGCTGGAGTCTACACTGAGTACTTGATGAAGAAGAATAGTGATAGTCTGTACTGGCAAAATGTACAATTATATACGTAGGTATCTATACCCAGACACTGGTCTATTGTCTTGAATTGCACAGCCCCAATACCCATTTAACCATCCTCTGTGTACAGTTGCCTCCCATGAACAATATTTTATATTCATCTTATGTGCTGTCAGGTTTGGAGTTATCTTCAACATGGGTTGGCTTGTCTATGGTGACTTCAAGGCTGGGTTTGAGATGGGTCCATGGTGGCAGCGTCTTTTTAATGGCTATTCCATCACAACATGGATAGTTGTGTTCAACTTAGGCTCTACCGGTCTGCTAGTCTCATGGCTGATGAAGTATTCAGACAACATAGTGAAGGTTAGATCATCTAGACTATGCATGTCAGCAAAATCTGAAATTTCAGTTCCTTCTCCTAATGCCTGCAAAGTGACACTATAGATCTTGTTTGCATGCCAATTAGTCTTGTTGCTATTTGTCAGAGAAAACTGGTTGATTTGACCACCTGTTCTCCTTTCGACAACTCTTTAGATTCCTTTGCACCTCGGCCGAAGAAAAAAGAAAGAAAGTTAACTACCCATAATTTCTCATCTTACTTTGATAATACGATGATTATGCCTTTTGTTTCATTAATTTAGTTTTATGCACTTGCAATTGAAAGACTGTTTCATGAACTTCTGTTTCAACAGGTGTACTCAACTTCAATGGCCATGCTTTTAACAATGGTTTTGTCTGTATATCTTTTCAATGTGAGAGCTACAGTTCAGGTAGGAATATTCTTTTTGTGTTTTGGTTCCTTCTGTTTGTTGTCAATTTTATAGTTACTCGTTTGGAGGTTATTTATTCATGCTAATATATGATTATTACCTATGTTTTGCAGCTTTTCTTGGGCATTGTCATCTGCATAATTTCCCTGCAGATGTATTTTATGCCTGTACACATGCTAGTTGAATTACCACAAACATTGCCAGCTGCATCGAAGTAGGTACAGTCTACTGTTATCTAACATGTTGATCAGAGTGATGGTGTACTGTTGATCAAAGGAGCAGCATTAGTTGAGTATCTTGGGCTCAGCTTAAATCGAGTCATCCCTTGAGTACTTGAGGCTACAATGTTCAAAAGATTCTTTGGTTAGCATCACGCTTCAGGGAATGTAAATAATCATTGAGGTGCAGACCTGATATTAGTGGACAATAGGCTAACTGCTGGGGGGCTTTGCTAATTTGTATTCAGGTAGAGGATGCTGATTGCTATGTTCCTTTTGGATTCAGAAATGGAAATATGTAAACATATTCTCCATTTAGTTCAAAATGGTTTACTAACCATGCTCTAAATTTCTTTCATTCACATGGAAGAGTAGATACAGGACTGGTTACTAAATACAGTATGAGTCATTACATCCTTGAAGAATATGTAAGATTTCTTTTGTTGCAGCAAGTGCACTGTTTAGATGCCGGGCAGATCTTATACATTTTATTCAAGGTTTTGATAATTCTTGCTTAGCACAGAAATCAAGTATACTCTGCCAGAAGTGCGTCTAGCTTACACTATTCCACACCTGCATGTGCCAAGCATAATACAAGGCATAGCACCCTTGAATATATTCAATTAATGAACCACTTATACTCTATCAGGACCTCTCTCCCGTTATACTGCTGTAGTGCCCATTGGTCTGCACCTCATTGCAAGATTAGCAAGCCATGATCCATGGAAAATATAGAGGCCCTATGGCTTATATTGACGCACATCAGTGATTTCTGGAAATGGATGTAAGATGGTTATTGCTCACTGAAACAATGCAAGTTGGTTTTGTTCCAGTTCTCAAGTAGTCAAATCTGAAATTGAATTATAGAATGTTAGGCTGGATTCGGAAGTATAGCCCATTTCATTTCTGCCGCAAAACCTGCTTTGGGTTCTGTCCCTGTCTTGCAATATTTTTTGTAAACATGGCCATGATAAGGGTGCTTGTTAGAACCTGTTTCAGAAATAATAAGGTCAATTTTTGTACTACTTCCCTAGACCCACCGAATCGAAGGCGCTCCATGCAGTAATGACATTTGTTCCATCTCCAAATCTGCATACTTATTTGGTCTATGTTTGACATGGTGCAAGGACCAAGGACGCTATACATAGCCTTTTTGCAATTCCTGTGTGCTCTTGCTGATCTTTCTCTTTCCAGCCACAGCCAAGTTGTACCCTTTTCAAGTGGCGGCTTTATAATTTCCAGATTCTTTCCCCTCCCTCAAGAAAACCTGTGCAAATATGAATTGGGGACCTTGGTTTATCTCGCTAGTAACCTGTGCAAATATTGGTCTAGTGTTTTCTAAAATTGTTTTACCTTACACATTATAGTTTTGCTTAATATGATTAAAATTTCACAACCATTTTCATAATTTTTTTTAACAGCAATTGCATGTGTAAGAGGAGTATGAAGATGCCAAACTGAAATCCTGCTCCTACTGTGCATTTCTATGAAAGCTTAAACTTACGGGATAATGCGGTTTGCCCCTATTTAGGCCTGAAATATTTGTACCTGAGCTCAGCACCACGTCCAGTATATATCCTAGATCCCTAGTAGACGGATGTACTAATGGCAAGAAATTCATCATGCTGGTGCATATTCTTTAGTAGATGGCAAACCAAGAAATTACATTTCCTTTTCTGGCATTATTATTATTAAGGTCGTTGTTATAGATTTGTCTAGTGAATTCTTGATGACCCGAAGCCTCCAAGAATACATTCCTCTCCCATTCCAGACGGGATCTTCCTTCTGGAGTTATTGGGAGGGAAAAGGAAAGGCAACAAGGTAGCTTAGAGAGGCAGCGTTGGCATGCGATTGCCTTTTGCGTGTGTAACGGTATTTATGTGGAGGAGATATATATTCTTGCCTTTGTGCACCGAACTACGTGTGCCGAAACAAGGAGTTTTTTTTTTTGAGACAAGGCAAAAGACTTGCCATTTTCATTGCTTAAGAAGAAGGTTTAGACATAAGCCGCGAGGCGGCAAAAAGAAAAAGGTCTACTCTCGCGACATAACAGTACTAAGCTGTTTGGCTCCCGCCAAAGACCAGAGATGGGCCTCCTCTTTGATTTTTGCGATAACAATGGAGGTCGGGGCAAAGACATTTTGAAAAATTCTTGCGTTGCGCTCCTTCTAAATTTCCCACGAGACAAGCATCATCAAGGAGGCGATGGCCTTCCTGCAGAATATGAATACAAACCACGACGTCGATTTGCGCTACCTCGCTTATCGCCTGGCTCTCAGTTGTACAACAATGAATTACCACTTGGAAATGAAGTCCTGCTGGTAGCCAACCACCCCTGATCGGACTTCTTTGGGTGTTGGTTAAAGACCGCCTCATGCCGCCACTGGTTTCGTCCTCAGGGTTCCCTCGGTTCTGCCTTGAGAAGGGGGAAACATGGCTCGCCAGGCACGCCCCATCTATTGCTTGCGGCGCATGCCACTCCCCGAAAAGGATCGCCGCGTTCGTTTCAGCCAGGCAAGGAAACGAAATGTAAAAAAAATGCCGAGAAAGAGAAGACGCCGCCGATGAAGCAAGCATGTCGCCAGAACGAGGTTGCCGTCCGGGCGCCCCTAGCTCCGTGTCGCCCGCGGTATCGGCCTGCCCACCGGGTCCGGGCGAGTCCCCAGCGAGCAAGTCACATCCTTGAAACTGAAACGCTTCTGCCGCAAGCCTGCCTGGCCTGCCATGCCAAACTCATGCATGCTCATAAAAGGGACATTCTGAAAATTCTCAGTTGAACACGTATGCTGGAGAAATGTACGTACGATACAGTTGTTAGTTTTCTCGGTGAAAAACGGAGAATAGCTGCCGTGCAACTGGAGGGACAATTAGGCCCCGTTCGGAATACAGGAATTGTCGCGGCGAATTTCGCAGAGGGGAAATTTCTCCAATTTTTTTTTCAAGAAAAGCCTTTGGCTTCACCGCCAGGGAAAGGAATTGGCCAGAATGACACGGCACGATCGATCTCTCTTAAATGCGCGTGTCGAACAGGTTTAAATCAGCATCAAAACATTTAGTCCAGCGCTCTCCACACTATTTCTCTACCACACTCCATCTATAAAAGCCCTTCCAGCCTCTTGCACTCCCTTCTCAGCCGCAGCTCCAGTTGCTTGCAAGTTACAAGGCGTTCAGAGGGGGCAACCAAACACACAGACAGACATGGGATCCTTGGGCCCTGCCGTGAGCGTGAGCATGGCCAAGGCCAGCGGCGGCACGGCGGCCGTCGGCGGCCAGCAGCAGCAGCAGGAGCGCGGCACGTTCAGCTGCGGCTTCCGGATGCCGCTGCACTACCCGCGGTACAGGAAGGCGGACTACGAGGCGATGCCGGAGTGGCGCGTCGACTGCCTGCTCCAGGAGTACGGCCTCCCCGTCGCCGGCGACGTCGAGGACAAGAGGAGGTTCGCCATGGGCGCCTTCCTCTGGCCCAGCCAGTACTGATTCGCCTTCTTACGTCTTGCCACTCGGAGCAGAGGCCGGTCAGCAAGCTAGCGCCGAGCAGAGACTGATCAGCAATGGCAGCAGAAAGATCACGTACGTCCCCATGTATGAAGATGGCGATATATATTCTTATCTACTCCCTCCGTAAAAAAGTGATCTAAACGCTTTTATATTTCTTACAGAGGGAGTATAATCTAATTGTATCTCCAATTCTCCATAGAGAATATATATCATGCTTCTTGAAGTATATGCATGTAAGCAGTGGAAGAAGGTGTTGTTTCTGAAATTCATACGAGTAATTTAGTGTTTCCTATGTACGTGCGACCTTGATCGTTTTGCACAGGCTCCAGGGTCCTAAGAATCTGCTCTCTTGTTTGAGGCGTGTCATCTTTCTGCTTGTGTCTTCAGAGTAGTCTTGGTTGTTGCATGCTTTCTACTGCTCTTACAATTGATTACCACTTCACCGGTTACCATCACACATTTACAATTCGTTTATTGAGTTATTTGCAGGGATTCATGAATTAAAGAATTTTTTTTAGAATTATTATTAAAAGGTTCTGAACCTGGAATGCCTCGCTGACAGTTTCTGATAGCAACGAGCTAGGCTGATTAACAGAAGGGAAATGTTCATTTACCAAACTGAACAATGCTTGGGCCTGCTTCCTTCTACATCAAATACTTGGGCCTCCTCCTCTCGGTTTGGCAACTTCGAAAAGTTGATTTCCAATTCCTTGAAGATAAGGTTGTGGACTTGCGGCAAGGCTTGTGCCTTGGATGGGCAAAATATTGCCACCACGAGACGAGTAGCACTTGTCAAGTCAGTGTTCACCTCGCAAGTAATTTGCCACATCACCGCCCTCAATCCTCCTCCGAACACTCTACATGGCATTAACAAAATTGAGCGGGCCTTTCTTTTGGCGGGTGCAGAGAAACAACTGGGGCAAAGTGCAAAGTCAATAGAAACTCTGGCCCAACCGACCTTGGAGGCTTGAGAATCCTCGATCTTGCCAAGTTTGCAAGGACTTCTAGGCTAAGATGGCTTTGGTTCGAACGGAAGGAGCCAACAAAGATGTGGGTTGGATTGGGAAATCCTTGTGATGAGTTGGACCGCAACCTCTTATATGCCTCCACGCACATTACCATTGGCATTGGGGCTTGTGCACCTTTTTGGGATTCTCATTGGGTCAATGGAGAAAAACCTATCGACGTTGCTCCTCTCATATTCGAGACCTCGTCGAGGAAAACTTGGAAGGTCAAGGAAGCCATGCATGAGGATGCGTGGCTCGCCAAGATCAAGCTCCCCGCCCTTTGGACGATGGTACATATCCAGCAAATTGTCACTCTTTGGGCTCGCACGTTTGCCATCCTCATTGCGGAGGACAACGAGGACCCCATCACTTGGAAGCATACGACGAGTGGGCACTACTCCGCCACATCTGTGTACAATGCCCTATTCTTGGGGACTACTCGCTCGCCCATGAGCTCCGCAGTTTGGAAGGCTTGGACCCCTCCAAAGGTCAATT